ATCCACGCACACACACACACACATATATATATATATACACACACACACACCCGCGCGCGCGCGCGAATACGCACATACGTGCATAACCTTTCTTCGCAGTGCCGTGCATAATTGTACATGCTTCGGGTTTCTCTGCGTTGCTTTGCTTTGCTCTTGCTTGTCTTTCTTGCTTGATTGCTTGCTTCAGGATGCAACCGAGCCCCGGCAAACCAAAATGCACACAACAACCAAAAACCAAGAACGCCAACTAATAACAATGCAAATCTCCCTCCAAGCCTGGACAGAAACGTGTGCAATGTGACTATTCCAATGGCACCCAAGGCACCATGACTTGCTGTCCCGCAATTGGGTGGCCAAGTTGAAGGAGCGTGTCGAGAAGCTACTTTGAGCACTTTCGGCATCTTTTGATGGACCGGTCGAGGCATTTCGAACCGCGCCTGATATGCTTGATCGCCATGAGCGATGGAAACCTCCAGGCTTCTCGCGTGCCCGCTGATGGGCTTCTCGAGCGGCCTCTGCACTGCTCTGCACACGCTCCTGCAAGGCAGTCTCAACCAATGCCATACACTTCCGAAGCGCGGTCTCTGTGGTGGACATGACAAGCTCATCGAGCTTCTCCATGGAGACGGTTGGCATATGAGCGCCAAGCATCTTGTCTGACACCTCTACATGCAGGTTCCATGTGGGCTCTTTGACATGGACACCCCGCATGCGTACGGTAACCCTAACTTCCCGTGCCTCAACGATGAGAGGTGCAGGGATCTTGGATGCAGGCGGCTGTATCACGGGCTCATCGTCACCATCTGGAGTCTTGGGAACTACATCCTTGGGAATCATACATTCGGAAGAGATGTCGTGAAAATCATCTCCCGTTGATATGCATGTAAAGCTCGAGGTGCTCGAATCTCGCTTTTCAGGAGCGTTTTGAAGTGTGAACAGGGTGTTAATCATGCTTTGCATTTCGGACATGCGATCCGTGAGTGCTTCGTGATTCTCCAGGACAAGTGCATACAACTCCTCTTGCTGGTGCAAAGATCGCATGACGTTGTACTTGATGAAGCGGGTAGCCGTCTTGGAATCGTGGACCCAACGACTCAATGGTGCGACAAACTCTGAAAAGCGGATTTGGCCCGCCCCGGTTGTGTCGATCATCTCAAAGAGCTGTTGCAAGTCCGCCTCATCAATATCCATGACTCGAAGCCGGCTTTGAAATTGCGGGTCCTTACGAGCACCATTTAGTAGCTCATCAAACGTAACCTCACCGCTCCCGTCCGTGTCAATGCGCTGGAAGATTTCTTGCAACGTCTTTACGTCGTTGGCAAGGTTGAACTCCAACTCCTCGGCCAGATTCAATACGTCCCTCTGGCGAGCCTCTGCAAAGGTGTCCACCACAACCGCCACCTCAAGTCGTCACTGGTTACTTAATTGTTGCAACACCTGCTTCACTGAAACCGTGCCTCTTGCCCTTGGACGGCTAAACTGGCTGATGCGGACGATTCATCCATTGATGTTTACAGCTCGTGGGGATCTTATCTTGCTGGCTTGCTTGCTGAGCCTCCGTCGGAGCCCTGGCCCAGAGGCCTACGCCCTTGGCGCGCGTCTGAAGGTCGGAAAGG